CTAATGTCACGAAATCAAATGTGTAGACAATGTTGAATGAGAAGCTAATCTGCTCTGTAAACATTCACCCAAACCTTAATAAAATGTCCAAAAAATAGTACAACGAACAAATGAGAGAGATGAACTCTAAATGAGGAGACCACTACCCGTTTCCAAGTCTGACTTCTGTCTTGGGAGCCTGGGCTCCATTCTTTCCAAGGCTCTGGGTTCACATTCTTGGGAGTCTGGAACCACAGACAGTCCAGACTGTACAAAGCTTTGACCCTTTGTGTGCAAGAAGACAGTTCAGAGGATGCCCACAGTTGATTCCAATATACTTGGGAGGCTGTGAAGCAGAGTGTCTGGGGAAGAAGGCCAGGCAGTACTTCCTGGGTTCTAATCTAAGTTCAGTCACCTACTAGGGTGTGACCTTGGGTCTTGAACACCCCTACACCCAGTTTATCAGTTGTAAATGATGACAACAATGATGATGCTAATTGAATCTTCTGTCTCACAGTTATCGTATGAAAAGACATTTCAAAGTTATAAAAGGTCAGATATATTAATAACTCATGTGGATATGAAAAATAATGCAAAATTTTAGTCCAAAAGGCAGACTGTGCTTTACCTGGGGTCTCTCACAGGGTACATAGATATTCAACTCATAACAAAGGTGGTGTTTCAATAGTAAATAAGGCAAATACATCTTGAGAGGAAATGACAAGCTTGCAACTTAAGAGGATTTTACAAGATTAGGAGGTACAATCTAGAATTTCCCTCAGCAAGTAAAGAAGGGTATCCTAAAATGAGGGCCTGCATTCTCCAAGGTGGCCCCATTGACTATTGCCACAACTATGTGATGAGACAGAAGGTTTTCAGTCTTGAAATGTGAGCAAGTCACTGTCAGCTGAAATTAACCCCGAGTTCTTTATGAAAAGGAAAGAGTAAGACATAAATTATTTACCTGAAACAAACCCTAAAACATTTAATAATCTTATTACATGGAGGTCTAGTTAATCCTTAGGTCCCTGGAATCAGGATCCAAAGTCATAACCTCTAGACACACATGGCTGCCAGCTTGCTTGAGGTGGGTGAGCTGGAGGGAGTGCTGTGGGTTCCACGGCTCCATTAAGCTGGAGGAGCTGAATTAGGAACAGAAACTGTACTTTTTTCTCACTGTATTTCTGATGTGGCACCTTAGGCAAAACCCCCACCTCTAGAAATTCAGGTCCTCATTCATACTGTTTGTCCTTAACTTAACAGAGGCATAAACTTTATTTGTTTATACTGTGGCTTGTTCCAAAAGAGAATTGAGGCTGATTAGGAATACTTAGAAGAAAAGACTATAAGGTACTTGAACTCCTCAATATTAGAGATGCAAAAAATATATATATATTTTAATGTGTTACGTAAATAATTCACTGTCATCGAATCAATTCTGACTCATATAAAATGCAACAGTACGTAAGACCAGGGAGGAAGTAAGACTTTATGATCTATTGACACACACATGCATGCTTCAAAAGTTTCATAACTTTTGAAGGATATGCATTTGTTACTTCCTGTATTTGTTTTCAACAATATAGTATTTTACACTGAGGAAAAAAAAAAAGATATGAATTTTGATTAATGTAGCCCTGATTCATAAACAAACTAAACAAGCAATGCTTATTAGATCTTCCAGAGCCTGGACTTCAAACCCAGGACTTGTGCTCATTCTCCGATAAAATCTCTTACAGAAACCTGACCTCTGTCCATGTTAGTTTTCAAATCAAAAAGCTTTGAACTTCTGGCAGGTTGTCAGCTTGGACCTTGGGTGTTTATCAAGAACTTCCTCATGATAGGAAGGATGACTCTATTACCACACCCCTCCTCAAAGTTTCCCCTCGTAAGAGTTGGCACCTACCCAGAATCTCAGAATTTCAAGGACTGAGGTTGGGACCTGTGTCTAGTACATTTTCGATCCTTAGCTCAATATGTTGTTGTTGTTGTTGTTGTTGTTGTTGTTAGTTGTTATCAAGTCCATTCTGACTCATGGTCATCCCACATGTACAGAATAGAACTGCCCCATTGGGTTTTCAAGACTGTGACTTTTGGAAGCAGGTTGTCAGGTTTATATCTTCTGAGGATGAATTCTTACCAGTAGTAAAATGTTTAACTGTTTGAGTCAATGAAGTATGAATAAGTATAGCTCAATATACAGCTTGGTGTGGTGGTGGTGGTGATGTGCTGTGGAGTTGGTTCTAACTCAGAGACGCTGCATAGGGTTTCCGAGACTGTAAATCTTTACAGGAGTAGAAAGCCTCATCTTTCTCCCACGGAACTGCTGGTAGGTTCGAACTGCTGACCTTGAGGTTAGCAGCCCGACTTGTAACCACTGCGCTACCAGAGCTCCTTACTATACAGCTTAGGCTAATAAATAAAAAATGGTCCACAATAATTAAGATTGATTCTTATGCCACATCGTGTGGCCTGGTAATTCCAACTGCCAAATGTTGTTTTTCTTTGTTGCCTTATGTGTTTCTTGAGGGGAGCAATGACTACTCATTACCTGCATTCTGGCAGGTATTATTTACCTGTTTCTTCAGCAAGCAGCCTGAGGATAAATTCTTACTCTTTCTCTGAGCTGAGGTCACCCACTTAGATTTTGTGGAGCTCCAGTGTCAGGATCATTTCAGGGATCCCCTCCACTTCAGATATAGAACATTGCTGGTTTTGGTAAGTGCCGTTGAGTCTGTTCCAACTCATAGTGACCCTGTATAGGTTTCCCAGGAGTGGCTGGTGAGTTTGAACCCCCAACCTTGCAGTGCAAACCAACTTTGTGGTCCAGTGCTTATCCTACAGCACCACACTAGGACTCCTTTGTGCAGAATGTTATTGTTGTTAAGTGCTGTCAAGTTGGTTCCGACTCATAGCAACCCTGTATAGAGTTTGCTCTATACAGGGTTGCTATATATAGTGAGTTTGAACTGCCAACCTTTGTATTCAAACCAGCAAGGCTCCCTTAGAATTTCTTCTTATACTATTGCAATTATGCAACTAAAAGTAATTCTGCACACTTGCTTTACCTAACACTATACCAACATCTAGAGAGCTCTGGTAGCGTAGTGGTTACGAATCGGGCTATGAACCTTAAGGTCAGCGGTTCGAAACTACCAGCCGCTCCGCGGGAGAAAGATGAGGCTTTCTACTCCCGTAAAGATTTACACCCCTTGGAAACCCTGTACTGGGTCGCTATGGGTCGGAACCGACTCGATGGCACTTAACAACAACAACAACATACCAACATCTATGCTATTCTCCGCTCAACTTGTTACACTCAGCCATAGAGAATATCAACTTCGTTTAGGCTTCTCAAACATGGCAAACTCATTCCTGCCTCACTTGGGCCTTTGTACTCCCATGCTTTCCCTATGCTTGGAAGACTGTTCTCCACTGTTTTCTTTTTTTTTCTCTCACTCCCAGGGTGCCTTCTCTCATTATGTAAGCCTTGGCTTAAGTACATCTCATCAGAGATCTGTCCACTCTATCAAAAAAGATACCATTCCTAATAAATCTCCAGCATATTGTTCTATTTCTTCTGTAGCTCTTGCTATATATAATCTGTAATTGTCTTATTTATTTATTTGTGTTTACGCTCTATGTCCCTCACATGAACATTTGCTCTGGGAGGATATTGTTTCAGATGCTCCATTGCTACCCTGTTAGTTCACATATTTCTTACCCTATAAAAGGGAGAGAGCAGATTATTGGAATGATTTAGCTGCTCGAATGTCTTTAATGCTAGACCAGCCCTCCAGTTATTATACTTAGAGAACAGAGCAGACTTTTCCAGGTGAAGGACTGGTGCTGATAAGATCAATGCACACTAATTAACATAGGTGCTCAGCATGTAGATACACTAAATAACATAGGTGCTCAGTACGTAGATACTGAACAAGTAAATGAGTTAAGACAAAAGTGAGTGTCTATGTTACAGGGTTAGACAAAAAGAGAGACAGCCAGGAACGACAGCAAAAGGAACTGCCCCATTTCTTGCCTGATAGGATCACAGATGGATGATCTTCCCCAACAGGAAAGGGAGTGTAGTTTACAAACCGGCTCTAACAAGCAGAAACCAATCACAGCCAGGTCGATTACAACTTAGGGAAGCACTTACAACCAGAAGGCTTATTTACACATATGCCTGGTCCTGAAGTATTCTGAAGATGACTTGACGATGCACAAACACACTTTTATTTCAGTATATTGACAACTAGGAGTCATGATGTGGTGCTGTGGGCTAATGCGCTGGACTGTAAAGTCAGTGTGAACCGCAAGGTTGGTGGTTCAAGCTCACCAGCCACTCCTTGGAAACCCTACACAGGATTGCTACGGGTTAGAACTGACTTGACGGTACTCAGCAACAACACTGACAACTAAATCTAGGTGGACTCACATCCTAATTTATAGACATCTACCATTGCTGAGGAATTCAGAATCTGATGATATGATGTCTATGTTTATGCTTCCTTCTATAGGGATTTCATGATCTAGAAAGTTAAGTTTAAAATGACCATCAAATATTTGATGACATTAAGAAATGGTTCATATTTTTAAATTTATCTTTTATCTTTTTAGGTGTTTGTTATACTGGTGTGTGGTTTTACATGTATTTTAAAAAATAAGAGTCCTGATCATTGTAAGACACACATCAAAATATTTATAGATAAAATGATGTCTGAGATTTATTTTTAATTAAACCTAAATAATTTAATAATTATTAAATATTTATTTAATAAATAAAAAAGTAATCAGATAAATTTGAATAAATCTAAAAAAATTAATTGAAAAAAATAGGGTGAGGGTACAGCGAACACAGAACTGGTTAGGAGCTGCTAACTATTAAAACTGGGTGAAAAACCCAGGGGGTTTAAACTACTTGTTCTACTTTATATATGCTCAGCATTTTCATAATAAAACAGTTTTTTAAAAGGGAATTTCAAACAGGTAATTCCCACTTGTGAAAATATAGACGTTACCTGGAGGTGGAGGTTTCACCCTTCCAGTCTTGCAGCAGGTTCTCCTGGATGACATCCTGGGTCAGAAGCACGTTCTGCCGTGGGGATTTGCAGTGAGGGAGGGTACCCATGTGACTGAAGTTATCACAGGACCTTATGGGAGGAGGGCCCTTTTTCTTCCGTGGAAGGGTGCCGTGTATAGACACGTCCTGATAGGTATCTGTGCGGTGTTCAACGAGCGATGACTTGCTGCTCAGAAGGTCCATGGACGAAGCCAGGGGGAACTGGTGATTCACAGGCATGTTTCTCGGAAGGCTTGCAAATTTTCCTGCAGCCATAATTCTCAACTCTAAGGGGTAAAACAAAATGAAGGTGTAAATCTAAGGTAATCACAAGACTGGGCTTCCCATTTACAAAGGGAAATGGAAAGATACGGCACAACAAAAGACAATATTGATGGAACATTAAAAGGCCAACAAGTGATGCTATCTAGGGGCATCCCTTGTTAGCTGTTGTTGCACAATGGAAGGAAATGCTTCCATTGGTCCCCAGGATCAGCTGAAGATTGGACTGTTGTGATCTAGAGGGCTTTCAATGGCTGATTTCCCCAAGTCCATTCTTTGTAGTCTATCTTAGCTTGGAGGCTGCACTGAAAACTGCTAAGCATCACACAAGTCTCTATGGATAGATGGATGTTGACTACACAGGCAATGCATTGGCCCAGGTCTCCCACATGAAAGGTGAGAACCGGACCACTGAACCACTGCTGTCAAACTGCATCACTAGGAGAATTGAATGCAAACTCGTATTTCTAAGCTCACTCTATAGTCCATTTTTTATGATTCCACAGAGGAATTCCCCTCAGTTGGCAATAGACCCTTCAGAGGAAAAGGGCAAACAAAACTGCAGAATCATCAGGGGCACATGAGCCATTTATTATTTTAGACAATGAAGGTTGACAGAAAAGCCCAACTAACAAACAACAAAAGAGATGACCGAGGAAAGACTCAAGGTTTCAATAATAAATATACTAGAGAATATGTTATAAACACACTAGATAATGTATTTCTCCCACCTTGCAAATGATAACAACAGGCGGAGATTATTAGAATTCTTCAGCTGCTGCTGGAACGTTCAGTGCCAGACTAGACTTTCAGTTGTGCTAGCTACCCAGGGGGAAAAGGGAAAAATTTTTCTGGCCAAGACCTGGTGCTTATAAATAAATCAATGTACTCTAATTAACACAGACGGGCTGGGGTCAGGGGTCAGGAGGTGGGCCACTCCTCCATACATCAGTGGGTTCAGCTGCAGAAGAGAGGCAGGTCCCTGTACACTGACCCCGAGAGGGGTCAGGGACCTCCCTGCCACCAGCAAGGTTCAGCAATGCCCATAGGAATCTGTAGGCTGGGAAGAATGGAAAGAGAAGAGAAAGAAGAAAAAGGAAGAGAGGGAAGGAGCATGGAAAATACAGAAGAAAATGGTGCATGAGGTTGTGTGCAAGAGTAGTGATAAGCAGTTGGTCCCAGCAGTGACCAATAGCAGAAATGCTTACTTTCAGCTAAGGCAACTCTCCCTCCCCACAAAATACAAGCTATGCATTTGAACTATGTCAAATTACATAAGACTTGTTTAAAGGTAACATACAAGGGGAAAAGAAACAGGAGCTTGGATCAAAAGTAGGACTAGTCTCCAGAGATATAAAGGAGACTTGGTGGTGCTATTGGTTAGGCGTTGGGCTGCTAACCGCTATGTCAGCAGTTCAAACCCACCAGCTGTTCTGTGGGAGAAGGATGAGGCTGCCTGTTCCTGGCAAGATTCACAGTCTCAGAAATCCTCTATAGGGTCGCTATGAATCAGAACGGACTCGATGACCGTGGGTTTAGTTTTGGTTGGTCTTGAGATGTAAGGACCAGAAACTGTACCATGCCAGAGTAAGTATCTGACTCTGGTCTGGACCACACAGCAGTATGGCTGCACGCTGCCCTTCCTAAGGCTGCCAAGTAGAAGGTCTGGTATTAATTGGTTCCCCTTCCTCACAGACTATGCTTTGCATTAGTCAGAGGACTGCACTGGTTGAAAAATCATCATTTAATAGCACGCCCGTTAACAACAATAACTGCAGATTCCATTTCACAAAGGAATTGGCAGCTTGGGATAATTGACAGAACAGTGCTCCAGAAACTCCTAGAAACAGGAATAAAAACAGAGTATGCAAAGGAAATACTCGACAACAAATACATACATGATCCACTGCTTCCATGTGCAACAGAGATAAACACACAAGTCTAGGGGTCGAGAGGAGTGAGACCCTCACTCAAGGCATAAGCCTATCCCTGTCCTCAATTCTTTGCCAAACCCGATAATTTTGGAGTGTCTTGGTTATCCAGTTCTGTGTTGTTGGAGCAGCTGGTGGGTTTGAACTGCCAACCTTGTGCTGATCCTACAGAGCCACACCAGAAGCCCAAGCATACACTGCAAAATCACACTCTACTCATTGTTATGTGCTGTGGAGTTGGTTCCGACTCACAGTGACTGGGTATATGGTTTCCCAGGAGTGGCTGGTGGGTGAGAACCACCAATCTTATGCAGCAAGCCAGTGCTTATCCTACAGCACTACAAGGACTCCATGGATGTCACTTATCTAGTGCTTTAGATACCACAGATAGGTGGCTTTAACAAACAGAAATTTATTCCCTCATAGTTAGGAAACTATAAGTCTGAACTTGGGGTAATAGATCAAGGAGAAGGCTTTCTCTCTCTGTTGAGTGTGGAGGAAGGCTCTTGTCTCCTCTAAACATCTGTGGGCCCAGTGTTCCTGGGATATCTCCACGTGTCTTGCCACCAATCTTTTCTGGGTCTAGGAGGCTCTCAAGACAGGGACCCTGGGTCCAAAAGAAGGCCTCTACTCTCAGCTCTTCTTTCTTTGTGATGATCAGGTCCCTTCTTCTCTGCCTGTGTCTTTTTCCTTTTATCCCTTGGAAGATAAAGAGTGATGCTGGCCACACCCTGGGAAAATTCCCCACCAGACCAGCACTGTGACCTGAGTCAGGGAGTTGAATCCCACCCTTACACATGGTGAGGGGCAATCACATAGCTGTCAAACCACAGAATTATGGCCCAGCTAAAGTGACACAGATTTTGGGGGGACCCAATTCAATCCATGACATGCAGCTTGTCTGCTTCATGTCTAACTGAAACCACACAGAGACCTGGATCATAGTGGGTACAAAACAATATGATGGGAGTCTCCGTGTGGGTCCCTCCCAGTTCTGCCCAGTACCTGGCACATTGTCAACACTTGCTCAACGTTAATCATCGTTATTAACAAAGAAACCAAACTGTCTAGCCCTCCCTGCTAATCACAAGTGACGTGAGCCTAGACGATCCCTCTACCCTACACATACATAAACACACACACACCCCTCATAGCGGTGAATTCTGAACGTATCATATTATTAGTATCCTTTTTCTTCAAGGATTATTTCAAAGAATCTGTGGGGAGGCTCAAAGTTCTTCACAGAATTGCTTTTTGAACAAAGGACCACATTGTTGATCAAATCTATTTCCAGGCTAGTATGATGGAGTTGCCATGAATTGAAATAGTCTTGAAGGCAAATGGGTTTTGTTTTTTCCCCCTCCTTTTATAAAGATAGGCCAAAGTTGCCTGGTTCCAGTATCTTCAGCAGCCTGGCTCCTCTCTGCTTGCTTGAGATGTATCTAAATTTCAAGGTTGAGCCAAAATGCTCTACAATGCCCTTCAGCAAGTTACCCATACCTCAGTTTATTCTCTGATTACCAGGGATGTCAACACTTTCCTTTCCTTCTACAATTATATCAACACACATTTTAGTACCTACAGATGAGGGGCTTCAAAATGGAGTGAAAAGATAATGGCATTTTCCCATAAGCTGTTTGAAGCTCCCTTGTATAAGGTACGCAGACACAGAAAGATGCCTAAGCACCAATCCCTCTTAGAGAAGGGAGACTAATATAATTCATAAGTGGAGAAATTTCACATGCTGAAAGGAAGAACCATTGATTTTGACCCATGGACTTGAGGAGGGTCTCAGTGAGGGCAAGACTATTCTGAAAGGTTACAAAAGGAAGATGTAACAGCAGATGTAAAAGCATGAAAGTGCTCCTGAGCCCCCCACAGTTCAGGAAATAGCAAATTGTGTGATATAGCTCACAGAAGTAGCAGCTCAGGGCCAGAACATGAAGTTTTAGGAGTTCCTACGTAGTGCAGATAGTTTATCCTGGAGACCTAAACAACTACCCCAGAGGTCCCTCAGAAGAAAAGCCTAGTGATCTGCTTCCAAAAGAAAACCCTAGGGGACAGTTCTACTCTGAAATACATGCGATCTCCACGTGTTGGAATTGACTAGATGGCACTTGGTTCGGTTGGTTCATGAAGTCTTGGATGCCCTGGCAAGGTGGCTGGACTTGATTGTGACTGCTAGGGAAGAGCTGGATGAGGGAGAATCCCATCTGTGCCCAGGGAGCTAACTGGGGTAACCCTGGGAAGGAGGTCAGTGAAGCTGATGGCAACACCAGCAAAGAAGGTTGAGGAAATCTGACCTGGGCAAGAGAAAGGAAATCAAGAGTGAAAAGACATCCAGAGCTCTGGAATTGTGGCCAGGAGGACGGAGCCCACAGGCATGGGAGAATAGTGCTACACTGCAACATGCTAAGCCGTTGAGTACGAGGTACCACTGGGACAGTCCAGTCAGATATAGGTAGGTACAGTTAGGAGCAAGGGTAGGATGTAGAATTTCTGCGTCATCAACATAAAGGGAATGTTTAAACCAGAGAGTGGATCGTTTAACTTGTCATTATCAGGATCAAATAACAGATGTAAAAGTACCTTTTAAACTGTAAGGAACCATACAATATTTATGAATTATATCCCTGTTCTCTCTCACCATGTCTGCTTCAAGGAATGAGTTTTAAAACTTAAAGCAGTGGTTCTTAACCTGACTGTACATAAGAATCATCTAGGAAGCTTTTAAAATGCTGGTGCCCAAGCTGCACCTTAGACCAATGAAATAAAAATCTTTGTGGGTAGGACCCAGGATCAGTCTTTTTAGAGCTCCCCAGTATTGTCGAGTGTGGAACTAGTGTTGAGAAGCATTGCATTACACACTTTTGGTGCACAGTAACTTGCATTCTAATTTGCTTATCCTGAAGAACAGAATCAAATAGAGATGCAGAAGTGTCATTTATTTTACCAAAATGTTCATTCATTCTTCTATTCAACACATCTCCTCATTCTGGGCAAAGGGATTGGACAGAAAAGACGGCCAGCCCTTTGTCAGGAGTTAGGGACATAGTGTCTGAAAAG